CTCTGTGCAGTTCAGGCTGGCCTTGAACTCATCGTGTAATGCAGGCAGTCCTCCTGCCTCAGCCTCCTGAGTGCTGGAATCACAGATGTGCACCACCACACCAGCCTGAATTCATTTTTGTAGCCCATGTAACCCAAGCACCTAGAGCTGCCAAAGGTACCATGTCTGTGACAAAGTACCAAAGTGTCTTACTTCTAAAAAGACACAAAAAATTCAAGATGTGAGGCTTGTGGCTGAATAATATATAAAGAGAAAGCCCTACCATGGTGCTGCGGGCCTTACCCCAGGAACGTGGAAGCCACGCGCGTCAGGACGTCTGTGCCTCTAGCCTGGGCTTCGAGTCTGGCCGGCTAGCAAGCAGTTTTTCCAAGGACTATGTGCCAAGTGCTGTGCTGGGCTAGTCAGGGGCAGGGCTGTCCCCAACTGCCAGGGGAGACATCAGACACAGAGCCAGTTGGGAGGAGCGATGGGGGGAGAGCGAAGAGGAAGAGGAGGAGGAGGAGGAGGAGACGGCACAGTCCTTCCCCACTTAGGGTCAGGAAAGCAGGAGGGACCCCGCAGTTGAGGGCTAGACGTGGAGACCATGCTGCAAGCTGAAAGGCAGCGATGCCCAGGACGAGGTGGGGAGGGAGAGGATCTGTACCCCGCTGCTGCCCTGGCTCCTTTTGGAAGGCAGCTTTTTTTTTTTTTTCCCCAGGATGATAGTTTCTTTTTACTCTTGGTTCCACATTTAAAAAATTACATAGTCTGTATTTTGAAAGGGCTGAGAAAGGTCATTTTTCTTCTTTTATGTTAAAAAAAATGTGCATGGCAAATAGACAAGGCGAAGAGCTGTTAGCAATCTACAGCTGAAAGCTGCCCCGCTCACTGAGCAGAGAAGTCCGCTGCAGCCGAGCTAGCTGGAGTTACTCAAGACTTCCCACCTTTCAGGCCTCCCAGATACCAGACAGAGAGAGGTGGGCTAGCGTCAGCTTTCTCAAATATCTGCAAAGATTCTGCTCACAGAAGTGAACGACTGCTTTTTACATTTAGGTCCGCTGTTTTTCATACAGTCTTGCTACGTAGGCCAAGCTAGTCTCGAACTAAGATGATCCTCCTGTCTTAGCCTCTCAAGTGTTGGGATTACAGGCGTGTGCCACCATGCCCAGCCTAATATTTAGGCTTTAAAGGAAGTTAAGCCTGTCTGCTTCCAACAGCTCACCTGTTTGCTTATGTAGGCCATGTGACGCGTTTTTGGGTGTCGTATAGTTTTCCTCCTTGCGTTCCTCTGGATTTCATGTAGTCTTTGTTTTAGAGATCACTGCTTTTCCTTTGGAATAAGTCGATGGAAGGCAGCTTTGAGCAGCTGTCACTGAGGCCCTTGGACTCCCAGTGCACAATGACCAGTGGGCGCAGGGAGTTACAGTCTTGGTCCCCAAGGTGGTGCTGCCCTGGAGGTCGGGGTCAAGAGGTCTCCCCTCTGCTGCCCTGGGATGGGCCTGCTCCTGCACCTTCTGGCTCCTGCGTGGCGAGCTGCCTCAGCAGAGCCCAGTTGGAGCATGGGCAGCCAGGTGACATCTTTCGCTTATACAGTCAGTTGTTTATACACTGCGGGTGTTGCATGGCAGTGACACAGAGCTGACTGGAAAGACTGGCGCAAGAGGAGCTGGGGCGCAGGAGGAGATGGGTGCAGGAGGAACTGGGGCGCGGGGCAGAAAGGTCGGGATGAGGAGCCCTGCAGGAAGCCTGGAGCCTGAGGAGAAGCGGAGCAGCCCAGGGCTCCTCCGCAGACCGGTGCTGCTGGCTCCACAGCAGCTGCAAGCAGCTTGTTTCAAGAATCTGAGAAAACGAGTGACAGATGGTAGCATGACAACCAAAATTTTAAGTTAAGATGGAAAAAGAAGCACTTTTACCTAAAACATGTTCCACACAGCTGATTCTTTGAATGTGAATAGATGTTTATGCAGGAAAATAGAGGGTCCCAATACTGCTGGCAAAACAAAGGAAACAGGTGTTCCTGGGGGCCGCGTTCCCAGAGGCGCTGTGCACACCTGGGGCCGCTTGTCCTTGCCAAGGAGCATTTTGCACAGCTTGCTTTGAGCGCTGCTTTCAAGAGGCAGTCGTGGCAAGATTGGGAATTAGGGAAGTACTGTGGTTGTGGGAACGCTAGACACATTCATGTGACATGAAACTAATACTGGGAAAGCGAGGACAAAGTTGAAGTTGTTCGCTGCTGCGGATCTGCCAGGGCACTGGGAAATGCTGGAGCTAACAAGGAAGGCTGGTGACGTCACCGCAGGACGGGTCGAATTCTGAGGAGGTGCTCGTGGAGAATCCGGTAGCTGTGATCAGGATGCGCTGGGTGATGCGGCCCGGGGGGCACCACTGTGTGTGGTCCGTCACCAGCTGTGGCATCATTCCGTGGTGCAGGAGTGCACAGGGTAGTTATCCAAAAAGCAGTAACTCACGTTTGAACCAGCAACAGCCTGGTTGTATAACAGAGAGAGAAAAGTCTCCGGCACTGCAGTAACCGAAACCCCTGGCGCAGTGCTAGCCAGACAGCGCAGGGAGTCCAGAAAGCAAACTTCACGTTTATCCTGGTGGGAGGAAGTGAAA